CCCGGCCGAGCCCTGCCCAGGGGGGTCGCCGCCTCGGACGGGCGCAGCGTCCCCTCGCACCACCCTCCCAGCGCGCCCTGGACTCACTCCCAGACCCTCACCGCGGGGATGGGAGACACACACAGGGCTGTGCTGCCATCCCGAGGGACCTCGACAGCCTGCCGAAACGGGCTGACGGGAACCTCCTGCCGTTCAACAAGGGGAAGAGCAAAGTCGTGCACCTGGGGAGGAACAACTCCCTGCCCCAGGGCGGGCTGAGGCCGCCCAGCAGGAAAGCACAGTCTCAGAAAAGCACTCCTGAGGTCACACCTGGAGTTCGGGCTTAACTTCTTAGCTCCCGGGGACAAGAGAGGCTTGGGCATAGAGGAGAGAGGCCAGCTATGGCCAAGAATGTGTTAATGGACTGGAGGAGCTCTTCCATGAGGAAAGGCTGAGACATCTGGGACTCCTTACTCTGGATCAGAAAATGCTCAGAGAGGATCTCCTTGATGTATAGAACCATAGGAAGGGAGGGAGCAGGGAAGGCAGGGTCAAGCTCTTTTCAGTGCTGATCAGTGACAGGTCAAGAGGCAATGTGCAGCCCAATGGGACACTTTTTCACTCTCAGGGTGCCTGCACACTGGCACGGGTTGTCCAGAGAGGTTGCTAGTTCTGCCTGCTTGGAGATGTTCACAATCCATCTGGGATGGTCCTGGGCAACCTGCTCTAGGTCACCTCGCTTGAGCAGAGGGCTTGGATCAGAGGACCTCTGGAGGTGCCCTCAAACTTCAGCCTTTCTGTGCTTCTGTGACAGACTCACAGGCACACACAGAACTTTAGGGATGAGATGTGCCAGGGCAAAGGGGAACGCTGAAATTCAGACTTTGCTACTCCCCTGATGACTCCCAGAAACAGCTTTTCACAGGAGTGGTGAGGACAACCCACTTTCCTCTTTTGGCTACAAGTTTCAAAGCTGGAACTCGAGAGAGACATATGCAACTGATGTAAACATTATATGGGTGGGTAAAAAAGTATCACACAGAGGACTCTGGAGAGATATTCGACACAGTTATTTTAGATTTTATGGTTCTTCTGTATACTTGCCAACACAGGTCCATGCACACGTGAAAGGGCTGTGCAACCACATGCACAAACCGAGGTTTGAATATCTCCAAGAATGGAGACTATACAGCCTCAGGTAGTTAACATACAGAAAAATCCACACACACACCATTTTCCTCTCTATGCTAAACAAACCCAGTTCTCTCTGCTTCCTGCTTGTATGTCAGAGGATCCCTTCCTCATTTTCATGGCCCTTCATTGCATTTGCTCTGGTATGTCCATGTCTTCCCTGTGCTGGGGAGCCAAAGACTGGACGCAGCAGTCCACATTCTCTCCAGTGCTCAGCTCAAGAGCAGTCCACCCCAACGAGCAAGGAGTCAGGTGAACATGCCAGAGGGTGAACATGCATGGGTAAACTGGGCAAGGGCAAATGCTGGCCCACTGCTGACTGGGTGGGGATGTGGTGACACAGGACATGGACAAGGGCTGAGATTCTGAATGCCTTATTGTCCTGCTGCTGGTGGGGATAGGGTTAATTTTCACAAAGAGCTGGGAAAGGACACAGTCCTTTTAGCTGACCCAAAATGGGTATTCGTGACCATGTGATGCCATGATCAGTACAGAGCCGTGGAGGTGGCTGAGGGCAGGGGTCGGCGGGGGCAGAAAGCACCACTTGGGAGCAGACTGGGATTCGGGTTCTGGTCAATGAATGCATGTGCATTAATCATGTTTTCTATAATCCTCTATCAGTATTATTGTTGTTTCCCTCTTTCTTTCTTCCCTCACTTTCAGTTTCTGATAAACTGCCTTTATCTCAACCCACGAGTTTTGCCTTCGTCTTCCGATTCTCCCTCGATCCCATCCTGGGTGTGGGGATGAGTGAGTGAAAAGACCCCGTGGTTCCTTGTTAGCAGCTGGGACTAAACCACGACACTTGTTCACCTCAGTCTTTACAAGCAAAACCATACCTCAGGAATCCCAGGTCCCAGAGTCCAGGGAGAAAGGCTGGAGCAAGGAACCCACACAGTCCCCATCAGGGAGCACTTCTCTAGTCCATCATAAGTGGCTTTGTCTCTGCCATTTCCAGGGAAGCCAGGGATGAAAGTGTAACTAAGTTCAGAATGCATAACATCCCCTCTGTCCTCATCTCCAAATACCATCGTCTCATTCTAGAAGGCTTTAATTTAGGTTCAGTGATTTCCCCAAGTGGAGTCTATTTGGCCTGTGATGTTAATTGCTGAGTCATCTCCCATAAGACTTCCGTTGTATTTCCCCCCATTGCCCACTGGGAAAGACGGATGGATAGAGTGGCTTGGTGGGCACGTGGCAGCCAGCCAAGGTCAACCCACCACACCTCGTCTACTTCTTCTTCCTCATCAGATGATCTGTAGCAGCCACCCACCACAATGTCACCCATGCTGAGCTACATTCTCTCTTTCCAGTACCGGCTCCATCCACTGCGGTACTCCTGTAAGCTACCATACCGCATCTCCATGATCCCATAGCTCTGCACCCAAGCCACACAGGACAAACTGGGCCATGTTGCACAGCAGCCAAGGCCACGTGCAATAAACTGCACGTCTCTATACAGTCTCTGAAGTTCCCACAAGAGATCCTCCTGCATTGTAACTGGTCTCAGCCCTTCAACCAAACTTCACAGAATCACAGAATGGTCAGGGTTGGAAGGGACCTCTGGAGATCACCTAGTCCAACCCCCCTGCCCAAGCAGGGTCGCCTGCAGCAAGTTCACCGGATGGTGTCCAGGTGGGTTTTGAATGTCTCCAGAGTGGGAGACCACAACCTCTCTGGGCAGCCTGTGCCAGTGCTCTGCCACCCTCAAAGTAAAGAAGTTCCTTCTCATGTTAAGATGGAACTTCCTAGATTCAAGTTTGTACCCATTACCTCTTGTTCTATCACTGGGCACCACTGAAAGAAGACTGTTCCCATCCCCTGGGAACCCTCCCTTTAAGTACTTATAAGCATTAATAAGATCCCTTCTCAGTCTTCCTTTCTCTAGACTAAAAAGACCCAAGTCTCTCAGCCTTTCCTCATATGAGAGATGTTCCAATCCCCTAATCGTCTTTGTAGCCCTTTGCTGGACCCTCTCTTCTCCCTGTCTTTCTTCAACTAGGGAGCCCAGAACTGGACACAATACTCCAGATGTGGCCTCACCAGGGCAGAGCAGAGGGGGAGGATGACCTCCCTCCACCTGCTGGCCACCCTCTTCTTGATGCACCCCAGGATGTCATTTGCCTTCTTGGCCTCCAGGGCACATTGCTGGCTCATGGTCATCCTGTTGTCCACCAGGACTCCCAGGTCCCTTTCCACAGAGCTGCCCTCTAGGAGGTCAGCCCCCAACCTGTACTGATGCGTGGGGTTATTCCTCCCCAGATGCAGTACCCTACACTTACCCTTGTTGAATTTCATAAGGCTTCTCTCTGCCCAACTCCTCAGCCTGTCCAGGTCACGCTGAATGGCTGCACAGCTTTCTGGCGTGTCAGCCACTCCTCCCAGTTTTGTGTCATCAGCAAACTTGCTCTATCCCTTCATCCAGGTCACTGATGACTATATTGAACAGGACTGGACCCAGTACTGACCCCTGAGGGACACCACTCATTACTGACCTCCAACTAGACTCGGGACCACTAACCACAACCCTCTGAGCTCATTCTGTCAGCTGCTGTTCTATCCACCCCACTGTCCATTCATCTAACCCACACTTCCTAAGCTTGCCTGTGAGGATGATGGGGGAGACAGTGTCGAAAGCCTTGCTGAAGTCAAGGTAGACAACATCCACTGCCCTCCCCTCATCCACCCATCCAGTCACACCATCATAGAAGGCTATCAGATTAGTCAGATGTGACCTCTCTTTGGTGAATCCATGTTGACTACTTCTGATAACCTTCTTTTCTTCTAGATGCTTTGAAATGATGCCGAGCAAAAGCTGTTCCATCATCTCTCCAGGGATGGAGGTGAGGCTGACTGGCCTGTAGTTTCCCGGGTCACCCTTCTTGCCCTTTTTGAAGACTGGAGTGACACTGGCTTTCCTCCAGTCCTCAGGCACCTCACCTGTTCTCCAGGACCTTTCAAAGATGATGGAGAGTGGCCCAGCAATGACTTCTGCCAGCTCCCTCAGCACTCGCTGTTGCATCCTGTCAGGCCCCATGGACTTGTGAATATCCAGTTTATCTAACTGATCTCTAACTTGTTCCTCATCAACCAAGGGAAAGTCTTGCTTCCTCCAGACTTTCTCTGTTACCCACAAAGTCTGGGTCTCCCAAGGACTGGCCCGAGCAGTGAAGACAGAAGCAAAGAAGGCATTCAGCAACTCCACCTTCTCTGCATCATCTGTCACCACGGCACCACATTTTCCCTAGTTTTCCTTTTGTCTCCTATATACTTAAAGAAACCCTTCCTATCGGCCTTGACATCCCACGCCACGTTCAATTCCAAAGCGGCCTTGGCTTTCCTTGTTTCATCCCTGCATACCTTAACAGAATTGTTATACTTATACCAAGCGGTCAGCCCGTTCTTCCACCTGAGCTTTTTCAGAAGGTCCCTGCTCAGCCATGCAGGTCTCCTGCTTGCCTTGCCTGATTTCTTTCTCTTAACTTCCCTTCACTGCTTTTTACAGCAAACACGTCAAATATCTTTCCTGCACCTGCCAATATGTGACACCAATCACTGTTAGCAGCTGCTGGAGAGAAATGATGAATAGTCTGTAATCTCTGTCAGTTGGTTTTGGGTCCACTCTGCTGCAGAGCTGCTCCAGGGTGAGCCTAGCACCACAGTAATACACTGCTTCGTCTCCTGGCTGTGCTGCCTGGATCTGCAGTGTGAATCTGTTCTGGGAACTCTCCACTGATCCCTTAAAGCGATCCTGGAAACCTTCTCCATAGGCACCACCTTCCTCATAAATCCAGTCGAGAGAGCCACACGGCCCCTGCCGGTACCACAACATGTAGTAGCTGCTCATACTGTCTCCACTCATGCTGCACTGGAACGTGACCCCATCTCCTTCTCGAACGGCCAGTTCCCTGCTGTATTGCTCCAAGGCCACCTGGCCAGTGACTGCTGCAGAGAGTGAGAACAAGCCATGAGCACTCCAAGGTTCAGCAAAGGTCAGGGCAACACTGGTGGGGGCATTGTGATGGCACTGGACTAGTGGGAGGACTAAACTGTTTTCTTTGAACACAGCTGACAAAAATGGGCAGAGGAATGAAGCTGGTACCAGGAATCAGGACTCACCAGGAGCTCACATTTCCTTCCCTGCTTTTCCAGCTTTTTCTGATTTTCCCATTTGAAGAAGAAAGTGTCTGCACCATGGCAGACCAATACCTTTGTCCTTGCCAAGCTGTCAGAGGGAGGACCACACTGTCCTGTCCCTTATACTACTCTGAATGCGCACAAAGACCTTTCAAGGGCAAGTGGGACTTGGATCCTACGCTGCCATCCTCAACCCTGTGCTTCCAAGATGGTTGCAGTGCCCCATGAGCAGAGTGCCAGGCCAGGTGCAAAGCATTAGGCCCCAAGATGGGAGAGTAGCAGGTAGGTGCCCTGCCTGTCCCCACACTGCAGAGGAGACACGCTGGGTGGAGGTGCCTAACTCATGGCTAGAAGAGGAGGAGGGCTGTTCCCACTGTGCTCTGCAGGGATGGGTGCGGAGGTAGAGGCGGGCGACTGGTCGACTGGTCAGGCTGCAAGCGGTGAGCACGGTTCCACAGAGACATGCAGAGCACGGGGGCATGCTCAGTTCCGGGGAGGTATCACCCCTTTCTTTCACTTACCTATGATGGGCAATAACCCCATGCACAGGGCAGTCCACGTGGCCAGGCCCGCTCTCTCTCCCCTCTCTCCACCTTCTCTCTGCCAGCACAACAGCTCTGCCCACATCTTCCCTGCCTGTGCCTCTGTCACTGCAGTCAGTCGAGTCCCTCCTGGTCCCTCCCTCGCTCTATGGCAACAGTGAAGGCGAGAGGTGGGGACTGGAGGGGAAGAAGAAGCTGAAGCTGTTGGTGCACTCCCTGGTGTCTCTCACCCTGCAGGGTGCAATACCAGAGCGGTTGCTTGGCAGGAAAACCTCTGGTGGGAGGGGACACTCCCTTCTCGCTGGGAATCCTGAGCTCCCCCTGCCACCACAGGATGGGACACCTCTGGAGACCTGACACAGTCTCACTGTCTTGATGAGTACCACCATTTTGGGGAACACTGCCCCTCCACACAAAGTGTCCCAATCCTTCCCCTCCCCTCTCTTTTCATGGGTGCTCCACCATGGCCCTTTGGAAGGGGATCCACAGGACATGGGTGGGAAAGGGAGCTGCAGAGGAACCCATAGAACCTGGAGGCTTGAGGCTGGGGAAAGTAGGAGGATACAGGGCCAGGGACACTTGGAGGTGGACCAGCCTGGTAGGACATGCCAGGTTCCCTCTGGTCCCAAGCCCATATCCTGATTGTTGCCGTTCCTCAGAAATATCCATGCTGCCCTCAGTGAACACACAGGAGCATAGATGCACATGGAGCCAACACTAAGAACACAACGAGGAGAATATTCATCACGGTCTGGGGAAAAGATGCTCTGCAGCTCAGCTCCTGTTGTTACACTACTCTGGGGCTCCCTGAACAATATGAGGTTTCAAAACTCAATTCAGCTCTGGCTTTCTACATTCATATTTTAGTTCTGTAACGCTCATTGTCCTTCATAACAAAAAAAAAGCCACTCAAATCTCAGAGCTTTGCCTTGCAGCAGTCGCAACACACCTGGCTGGATTTAACCATCTAGTGATGGGGACCCCAGAGGTGTGGCAAGTAAGTGTGAGAGACGGGGAGACCTTCCCTACTGTGGGGCCAGAGGACTCTGTCTGCACCTGAGTAAGGACACCTGCAACCCCAGGAGACAAGGAGGAACAGGCAGGAACAACTCAAGCAATCACTTCACCTACTCCACCACTCTCCTGGGCTTCTGCTTCTGATGTCTGTGATCCAGTAGCTGCAAACACCCATGCTGACAAGCTCTTCCTCCCATTATAATGTCTGATGTGGGAGAGAAACACGACTTCCCTGTACTCTCCGTGTGCTCCCAAGTGACTTGCCGTCTTTTCTCTGCTCACCCCTCAGGCAGAAAATCTTGTGGGCTGGACTGCGTCGACCTAAGCCATTCCCAAAAGCAGATCAGGGCTCGCCATTTGGGCCATGACTGGGTGTATCTGTACTACACAGAACCAAAGGAAATAGCAAAACTTGTTTCCTAAAGGAGAAGGAATTCCGGAGTGGGAGAGGAAACGATGTTTACGTGACACAGAAAAAGGTAGTACGTCCCTATCAGAATCAAATATTTGAAAACTGTACGCTATGAGCATACGACACTCTGGGAGCAACCCTGAACATCAAGGGGACACACAGTCCTTCCACCTTCGAGGCCCAGAGTTGGGACCTCGGCAGGAGGTTTGTGTTCAAGCTCAGCAGGATTTCCTGCCTCCGTGTGAACAGCACAGAAGTAGTGGGCACAGTCCCCACGATGCAGCAGGTGCAGGTGGAGAGATGCCTGGGACTGGGAATTGTCCCGGGAGGCTGTGGCTCGACCCTCCACAGCTGGCCCGAATTGAACCTTTGATGAAAAATGGCTTATCCAGGACACCCACTCAACATTGCCACCGGGTGCCTGACGGTACCACCGAACATAATGATTCTGGAAGTCAAAGCCGGATCCGTGGCAGGAGAGGAGCACGGAGTCCCCGGGCGCTCGCAGCCCTCCGCCG